GAACGCGTCAAGGCGCCACAATATTGGAGACCAATATCCTCGGGTCAATATGCTTCCATGTGGTGGTTGACGTCCGCCAAGAGTATTTATCTCCAAGGTAATCATATGTAGATTCGGAAATGCAGAGATTTGAATTGAAGCTCGGAGAGCTGTCCGAATACTCTGATACGATAGCACCTGGACCATATTAAGCGCAGCTTGAAAATTGGTGTCAAAGCCGACTTGACATACCAATTGAGATTCGACCAGCACAATAATGGCACTCCATGTACCTGCAATTCCCACCTAAATCACCGCCATGATTCCCGGTTTCTCCGATAGATAAAGAAGAAAGTCCGAGTTCAGGAAGGTCTAGGACCGACGAGGTACAATCACAAGATAACAGGCACAGGCGAGCTCCGAGCCTCTTTGCTATCGACTTTTTTATTGTCAGACCCACGATGATAATGAAATGGATCTATCCGTACCGACCCTGAGCGTCGAAAATCAATTCAGTATTCGGTCGTCGCTCCATTCAGTCGTTTAAAGCCTGGAAGATGACAGCCCCACCCCTCCACATGACCAAGCTCTGTATGTAGAATCCCGTAGAATGCGGTTGGCGGGCGACATGAGAAAAAAGTCCTAGCTTGAATAGAGAAGTGTCAACGATTTGTGAGAAATGATAACCGCTGCTCAATTCTTATAGAATTCGACATGGTTAAAAATACACGAGTCCACGTAGAAGGGAATGACGAGAAAAAAACGTACATCTTGAGCTGGTGAGGCCTTTTTGTTTCCGCTAGGTATTTCCTAATGAAATGTCTTAGGGCTTTGACGTTGGCCGATGTCAAGGGAATGTCGAGCAAGTTTGCTTCTATATATATATATATCGGGTTCCTGGTTGAAGAGCTATGGCCTCTAGGCGGCGCTCTAGCCTCTAGACTGGGGAGAGGAATCGATTTGCTTTGGCCTGACGCTCGACTAGCGGGCTGAAAAATACTGCATCAGGCTCTAGGTCCCTGTGAGAAGGATCTAGGTTCCGTGGTATATCGATTCGAGGAGATTCGAGGCAGATATGCCGCCGTAATGCGCGCGGTCACGTCTGGTCTGGCAGCCCAGTTTCGAAAACGGTTGCAATAAGGATTACTCCTAGCTTCATGAAGAAATGTATCGCATGAGGGAAGAAGTGACCCGATTCTGGGTGACATGTTGAAAAAGTCGCATCTCTGGAACCCCTTAGATAATGGAACTACAAAGAGATAGAGAACACGCACCGACTCTCAAATCATCATAATGATAGGAATGGCTGAAGCCGTCAGTCAAACGATGCTGGCAGCCTGCAGGCGCTTGCCATTGGGAAAAATTATCGCTGTCAGAAAATTGTCACCTGGCTCTCCGAGGTTCAATTTCCTGCAGAAATTCATTCTTTGGTTCCTTTACGCGTAGTGGAAAGGTATGCATTTGAGGCTTGTGGATTATTTCTCGAGGTGATGGTAATTGGTTGAAGAAAATAATATGACTCACCTTGAGGACCCGCACGGTATCGGTGCCGCTGACAAAACCTAGTAAAACAATAATCAATCCGACGCTGCTCAGCGTCTCCCAGCTTCCCGGACGAGATAGCAGTCCTGTGTGGCTCTGGCACGAAGCCGCTCTACGAGGTTCCGCCATTGTTCTGTCAAAGAGCTCAAAATGTTCCGAACGGTCGACCTCGGACACGGATCTTGACCAATCTTCCAACCAATCTAGCCTTTGCTTCGTGCAAACGCCGACAGATATTCTCCGAACTCTTCGAAGGACAAGAGAGGGTATAATATGTAGGTAACGAGCAACTTGGGATGCATCACTGGATACCATCAGTAAATATTACTATTTTTGTAAGCGTGGAAATTCCGGTCCTGATGACCAATTGATGTTATCATTGAACCGTCTCTTGCTTTTTTTCTCTTTCCTTGAAAAATAGTGGTTCAAATTTTCAGCTCTGTCAGTTCTTCTGATCCTTGCTGGATCTTGCTTGGATGTTCTGTCTTGCAGGCTTGACCCTCAAATCTTGGATGCGACATCCTTTTCCGATTCCAATCTGTGGATAATTATCGACATTGTTATTTAATCTTATCTTGGATAATAATCACGGAGAGTGAGGAGAACATCAGTAAATTGTCCATTTACTTGTAGCACTTGTACAGATGTGAACAAACACAAAAAATGCAAAAAAATGCAAAAAGTAGTTTGCTAAAAAAGATGAGTCCATTTTTCATAAAAGCACTTGAGGTCTGGTGAAAAAAAAGCAGCAAAAGTATGAAAAGCACAAAAGTCAAAAAAGTAGGTGAGTTTAGTATCTATAACTATTGTCTTGTATGCTCTTGGTGCTTTCGTTGGACTGCTGAAATCAAACAATGTAGCCCGATTCTGGTCCAAAAGCGACATGTCACCTGATTGACTGACATCAAAGGCCTGTGGGTGATGCTCAGCAGGCTTGCAAAGTCCCAGGATCCTGGCCCAGCGCTCATAATCCTTCTTTGTTAACAAATATGTCAATCACCATGCCCATGAATTCCTGATTGAACTTTAGTGTAGAAACTTTTCGTACCGCAGTGTGTTGACTTTTTAACTTGCCGCTTTTCCGCGTTTTAAAAGCGGAAATATGCGAAAAGCGCACATGTAATTTGTCATTTTACTGATGAATTGGTGCTTGCACCGTTAAGGATCTGGTATTCTTTACTCTGGCGACCTTTTCTCTGATAGTTATCCTAATCAGGGACTTCTCAAATGTCTGTCTGGCGGCCTACAATAATGACAGCATCAGGTCTCTCAGACCGCTCTCTAGCCTCAAGAGCATCAACCACCAACATTGGGTCCTTTTCATTCATGTTCCCTCAGCTTTGCTTTGGAAAATCTTTCTGGAACAGGCTCATTGAACCATATTAACCTCATGCTCTTTTGAGGTCAACATACTGTCAACATAAAGCATTGTCACTGTGGGCCAGGCAAAGGATGTTTCACAAGACAAGCTGGGCCGCTGGGCAAATGATCTGACAAGGTTCAGAGATGAATGGTAAGCTGCTTGCCTTCCATGACATTCCAATGATACTGTTTCTTAGACAAAGCATTGGTTCTGGAGGTAAGCTATACAAGAACATAAGGGTGAGCTGTTTCCCATCCTCCATTTTCAGCCTGTTGACCATGCTATGGATGATGGCAGTATCCTGACAATTTCCTTACATTCTGCACCCAGTTGTAATGAGGTTTCGTCTTTACAGTGTGGGTCTCCAGAAATGGACTTTGTTTCGTTTCTCCACTGGTAAGTGAAAGGACCCGAAATCCCTGCCTCGTAGCTCTGACCTGATCAACGTTGTTTTCCCTCAGGGTTCAGTGCATTGACTTTTTCATCAACAGTGACTATTGCAGGCTGCTGGACGAAGAAACAGCCTGTAATGAGAAACATTTTGCTTTCACCAACAAAATTGGAGCATGAGAACCATTTGAATCATGGCGAGTCATCTTCTCAGAACATCTCTGCTCATGGTGTCCTAGATCTATCTCAGCATAAACAATTCCATTCAGGCTACGTCTTCCGCTCAGCCTCCTCTCGCCATTTCTGTTGATCCACATGTTGATCCATATGTTGGAATGCTGTCTCTGGCTGATATGTCAGATTCTGATGCCACACCTTATGATTCTGACAGCGACCCTGACATGCCTCCTCTCATCAACATTGATGAGTCTGACTCAGGATATGGCTACGACTAGTTTATCTATGATCTCATTCATGAATACTTACGGTTATTTGTACAATTATTCAGGAATATTCATGAGTCTGTGATATTTACTTTGGTACTTACAAGTACGAAGTTACTGCGGGGTCCCGACTGTGCTGGATGTTATCAGCTAAGCATTGACATGTGCCAATGTTCATGCCTTTCCAGCATTCCAGGAATCAAATATGAGGCAGATGCAAAGGATATAATAGTTGTAAAATGTGATTTAAAGGCATCTCCCCAAGTATCAAATGATCAGATAGCTTGAATTGTCATCTGTATGCAAACCTTGGAAAATGGGGCCTAAATGGGCAATTTCTCTTGGAATGGTTTATCGAGAGGCTGTGATGAATAATCACATAGAATTGGGCCCTTGAACTGTTAAATGAGGTCGATTAGAAGGAGGTCTCAGATGGGTGCCGCTAATGGCAAAGGTCTCAGATGAGGGCCGCTACGACAGGACACAGATGGGAGGCGAAAAGCAAAAGATCTATTCAACATGACTACAGGAATGATGGCAGTAACTATTTGTACAAGTTAGGAATATGCCAAATGCGGAGTCCGACGTCACCAATTCTAACATGAACACGTCTGGAGAGTCTCGAGGGTGATTGGACAGAAATATTAGCTGTGACTCATCAACTCTGATGTCAGTTTCTGGCAGATGGGAACTGGCTGCTTATGCAAAGAATTATAGAGCCAGCACAGTCAGGGCCCCATGGTAACTTCAAGACTACATTGCAGTCGTTATTCTGTTACCTTTACCAACCATAGGCCTGTCATATGATTTCAAGTCAGTCTGGCAGACTTTGCTCAAAAGCACAATCAACACTAGAACCATGGCTCATGTTGCCCCAATTGCATAGAGTACGACTCTAGATGCTTCAAAGAAGAATGATATGGTGATTTCTGTCGAAGGGGTGGCAAAAAGATCAACTGGATACATATAGCGAAAGTTCTCCAAGATTTCATATAGATGGCAACTCTGTCTTGATCTCCAGTTCTGTTAAATCCTTGTTTATCTAAGCCTTTGCAGTTGACTCGCGAAGAGTTTCAGGCGCTTTGATTGACGAGATGATCATCTTTGATGGCGGAACTTGGCGACTCAATGCTGCCCTTTGTTTCATCTGACCAAATCAATACCTGTCAGTATATATCTCTCGAATCCACAATCCAATAATAATTGATCTTGAAAGATGATTGAAAATTTGGTAAAAAGATCCTACTCACTCAAAACGAGTAGATTTGCACCCCAAAAAAGACTGATCCGACCCAGACTCGATCTGAGGACCTTCTGTGTCCAGCTTACATAATATAATAAACTGTTAGACAGATGTGATAACCAACTACACCATCGGACCATGTAAAATAGCTTTGCGGCCGCTATTGATTGGCTTACCTATGTGTGTGTATAATCAAGATAATCAAGTTGTGGTTAACCAGAGACTTCCAGGACTTACCAGGGGGGATAAGTAATAAATTGATGAATTTTGACGGTAAGCCAGGTGGAGTACGTGAGAATGATTACATGATGCAATAATAGCTTCATTTGGATCGCCGATGAAGAACTGAAATCAAATTATGGCCAGCATCACTTCAATTCAGTTGTCTGAATGAATACCAGTCTGATTTGAGGTATTTTGACTCTTCTTGTCCCTCATTTATTGAATTTTCTTCACACCTGGGGGTGAAGTGCATGTGCTCTCATCTCAAACTAGTTGAAGTCAATGCTAACAATGATAGAGTATGAAATATCTACTGTGAGGCTACTGAATATTGTGAATGTACCATTTTTCTGCACTTGCGGTGCTTAGTTATGCGCCACATATGCAGAGCTTTGTAATCACCCAAGGTTGGCGCTTTTGGCAGTGTTTCACCTTCCAAATAATTGGGCATTTGTTGAGGATATGATCCCTGCCCATGTGAGTATCCAAGAGACCACAGTGGACCTATTCTCAGTGTTCTCATCTGTTTTTGCTGTTACAGTATTTCTCAACCTTGCGGCTCTGTCTGGCATTGTTAATAGGTGAGAATAGATCCTATGGTGGGTTTCAATATTGAAGAATCATTCCAAGCAGAGCTGCAAGTTTGAGGTGACTTGATCCCATGAAATATGCATTTTTCAGGCCTGCAGCGCCGAGTCTATGCCACATTTGCATCTTTCTTGCAATAAACTGGTTTCATTGCTCATTAGAATGTGTATCAATCATATTTGCTCTGCCCAATCATTCTCTGCTCAAGAGTTTGCCCAGAACCCGAGGTTTCCTTTCAAAATGTGAGAGGACCATGCAGCAAGGAATGGCTGAAAATCCCATGTGAACATATAGAACATGTATTAATGCCTACTTAGTTATTGCAACAGCTTCCTGGGTCTCAGCCTTGAACTTAAAATCCAAATGAGCTGCTAACAGCGAGCCACACGGAAGAAACTAGACCATGGAAAGATGTTCCGAAATAGGCAGGTGCACATGACCGGTAACTGGGTTAACCATACACAGGCATAAGCAGTGAGCCGACTTACCATCAGCATGCTAGGTAGGAGTTAACTACCTAGATGTTTCTTGACAAAGTTCTGATCAGCCAAAAAAGTCTCACATAGCAAAGTTCATTCAAAATACATATTTACATCCATCAGCTACCATTAGGATATTGAAGCTACCTTTCCTGCCAATCTCCTTCAGATATATCATGGAATGTTTACACTTTGATCGTCTGACTCGCTGTCAATGTTCAGGGTTTCTCAGGTGTGCCCATTCTCAATGCACTTGCAATATACTAGTTCACCAACCCTTCCTGAGCATGATTCGGCTACTGCGGAATTGTGGTTGCAAAAGTGATCACATCATCGCTTCCTTTTAGTTCCCACAGCTTGAGGAACACTGTTTCCGGTGGCTGGAGCAGCAGTTGAGGTTGATGCCACATGAGATAAGACTGTGGCCGAATTTGAAATGACTGTCTAGATCAGTGTCCATTCTAGATAGTTTAGCTCAATAAGGAACATCGACATCGAAAGTGATCAACTCACGAGCTTTGGTGAATCCACCGCTGCTATCAAACGCAACGCCAAACTTGGAACTTGAAGCTAACAATACCATCAGTGAAAAAGACATCTTCATCGAAAAGCGACAAACCTTCAGCAAATTGAGACGAATAGAATACAGTTTGAGTTGTGTATGTCTGTAACAGAAGATGTGAGGCGTGAATAGTGAGAGAAGCACCCATACCATACATTGTCAACGAGTCCAAACTTCAACAGCCTATTAGCGAACAGGTTGTAACTAATGACCACTGGGTCACATACCATGAAAATACAGACTGTAACCTGCTCAAAGCACTTGCTTGATGAATGGAAGGCGAATACTCACAGAATAGTAGCCGGCTTCTACGATATCTCCGATAGCATGACTGGAGAGAGGCGGCTCAAGAAACAGTCAACTTGCAACTTGAGACAGCGGTGAGATTGGCACATTTTCCGTACCTGAATCATCATCTTCTGGTAGCTCCAAGGCTGGATGATGATCCCAAGAATGAATTTTTCTGAGCTTGTCAGGCGAAGAATGCGCTAGGCCTGGAGTACCAGCTACTCACGAGTAACTGACGCGCTGGATGCTCAGCTTCATTTCGCCCCTGACACAAGAAACAGCCAGCCCTCCCCAAGTTGATTTTTTGGCCGGTGCATCATTGGATTCTGAGGCGCCACTGCTGCTGGAGCCAGCCAGAGAGGAGGGAAAAGTGCTGATATTTGGGCAATCAAACAATAAATGATGGCATTTCTTGTTAAAACTGATGGAGAACGATTTTGTGGCAACACGACGCGACAACCAGCGACATGTACCATTGTACAAGGATTGAACCATGAGAAATAATACTCGAAAAGGGAACTAGTCACATGCAGCGGAATCATATCTCTGCATGATTTTCTGCAGGAGATGGCACTGCCAGTCATCTGGCTGATAAGAAGGTGGAATTCTTCGGTCAACCACTGCTTGATGGATGTCAGAGAAAGCGATGGAGGCAACGTTGTTTTTATGCCAGGGAGACGCTGATTTGCATTTGCTTTACGATTTCTAGGGGTTCCAGGTATGCGAGAATGATTCGAAGTCCGTGGAGTAGCAGCTGAGCGAGACGGCCGAGGCGGGGTTTTTGGGACAGCGGACATGGGCAAACCAGAGGACTAGAACCACTGGAAACAGGCAATATGTAGTCAGAAGAATTATTATGAGAGAAATAAACGCGACGCACCAAGTAGTGCTCGTGAATTTCGACTTTTTTACTCCTCCAGATACCGCTGCTTTCCCCGACTTCGTCGCGTCAATATCCTTCCATTGGACCCTGTAAAGCCGAAAAAAATTATATAAGAGGTCAATCTAGCATATTGAAAAGGTGTCCATACCAGCCGTTAGAGACTTTCGGTCAGAGGAAGGATGAGGCAAGGTTGAACGTCCTGCCGTTTTTTGTGACTGTGACCCAAGCCTCTTCTACGAAGACGACTGACTTTGAAATTATTTCTCAAAATGGAAGTTTCTTTAAACTCCACCGGCTGCAACTTCATCAAACGATCAAAAACAAAACAAATACAGCCAAGCAAAGTCAGAATCCCTTCTTTTTTGCTGAGGCTTTTATGTTTCGCCTCTTGACGCGTTCATATGCCACCAGAGCCGTCAAACCGTCGAACTATGGTCAACCAGTCTTCAAAACCCACCCTCATTTGCTAGCCCGTGGTGAAATTACGCCTGGATTCACAGCCGAGGAATATGAGAGCAGACGGGCCAAGCTCATGGAATCTCTCGACGACGGTGCTATAGTCATTTCTGTTTCTGCTCCGATGAAATATATGAGTGGAGGTGCGTCCTTCATTCCGTTTCGTTGGTTTCCGAGCTCAACCTTCTTCAGAAATATTGTAAGCCCAACCATCGTCTACTGTTAAGCAATGCTCAAGTCGCTCAAGTTACCAATACCGCCAGGCCTCCGACTTCTGGTATCTCACCGGTTTCGAAGAACCCAATTCCGCAGTCGTCCTAGGTATTCTTTTCCATTAGCCGACCTTGAACATTCTAAAAATGCTCCAGTCAAGGACCCTTCGACCAAACGCGGGTACCGCATGACCCTGTTCTGCTCCGGTACCCTTCGCGACCGAGAGCGCTGGGACGGTGCTAAAACCTCTCTTCGTCTCGCCATAGATGCATTTGGCCCCGACGATGCGCTTCAAACCAAGGAACTCGGCAAATTCGTCAGAGGTTTCACCACCGGGGGATACACCCCGTCTCTCTACGTCGATTTTCCTCATCCTCTGGCGGAAAAACGCTTCATACATCGGTTCCGGCAGAAACAAACAGCTTCGGCTGTACAGCAGCTGTTTCTGCCTCAGTTGTCTTGCTCTCTGAACGCAGAGCAAGTCAACGAGAAACAGGCCGTCAATTTGTGGGATCTTTATGCAGAGGTCGGGATTGACCCTACTACGATGCAGCGGCTGGGACCAGAGATTGCGAAATTGAGGGTGATAAAGAGTGAAGCAGAACAAGCGGCGATGAAGGCTGCCAATGATATCAGTGCTCGAGCTCACGCAAAGGTGCGCAACTTGCTTTCTCTTCTACAATACTGGCTCATTCTTCGTGACAGACGATGCGGTTCACTGAACCTGGGATGTCAGAGTCGGTTGTGGCTGCCCACTTTGAATATCTCTGCAAAAGAGAGGGTGCAAAGAGATTAGCATATGTCCCGGTCGTTGCATCCGGGTTCGTCCCTCTTTCCGTCATTTCGATTCGTTGGCTCATTGTTCATGCAGCGCCAACGGTATGATAATCCACTACACTGCCAATGACCACAAAATCGACAAAGGGGACATGCTGTTGATTGACGCTGGTTGTGAATACAAGTATGTCGTTGCTTTGTCGAATTGTTTCTTTGCTTATCATTTCTTTAGTGGATATGCTTCCGATATCAGTACGCTGTTTCTAGTATGTCAAGCTCTCAAAGCTCATCTGGTTCACCTTAGCACGGACATATCCCGCCAAGGGAACTTTTACATCTCCTCAACGGGACCTCTATCAAGCGGTGCTGAATGCCCAGAAGAATCTCATCGCTCTGTGCTCTGAATCTTCATCTATGACCTTATGGGACCTCCATAACCGGAGTTATGAAGAGCTGAAGACCGAACTGAAGCAAATCAATATCAACGTGAGGCATGAAAAGGACATGATGGAGCTTTATCCTCACATGCTGAGCCATACGATTGGAATTGGTGAGCGTCTTCCAAGCCACCTTGTTTTCGCTGACATTTTTGTTAGACCTGCATGAGACACAATTCTATGACAGATCTCACACGTCCGTCCTCTTCATAAGCCCAGTTTCATATGTATAT